AACAGATATAAAAAAGTAATATTATATTGAGAAATCCGGATAACTTAATACCTACCTTTCCGGACATTTTTGCCGGACACAATTGAGATTATTCGCATTTCTTTAATAATTGATACCTTTGCTTATACCATGTATACATAAAAAACCTATACATTTAATAACCATTTAGTAATATATTAAATATTGGTTTCAGGACACTAAAATACAAACAAGTTCTCAATAAGATACTTAAAGCTGATCCTTCGCCCAAATACCATGCAAAATATTTTGTACTATAAACTGTAATTACTTTATTTTTACATAAATAAAAATAATATATATATTTTTTTCAATAATGATACATTATAATTATAATTATACATAAAAATATTATTATTTATATATTTAACATAATTTAATATAATAATATTTTATTCGCAATAATTATACAACGTCATAACTACATAAAAATAGTTTAATCAAATATAATGTGTGTTATTTTAATGTGTTTGTTGATAATTGGAGGAAAGGCGTTCTAACTTGTTTAAAACTTTTGCAAAATATAACATTGATACTCGACCAATTTGGCCCTATTAGTTTTTCTATTGGGAATTACTAATTTTCATCCGGTGCAACAGTTGTACTTAAAAAGAATATCCCCAAACATTTAGTAAACCCACCAAAGTTAATATAATATTCTTAATTATCGTGTCGAGTGCGTATCAATTAAATAGTAATGTTTTAAGGTTTTTAAATGTATTAGGTAAAAAGAAAATTTGCCTGAATCCGTTCAAGCGGTATAAATACAATTTTACTATATTTCATCAGTTAGGTACTTTTTAAAATACTATGCGTACCACACGTTTAAAAATGCACTCAGATACCCAAAATTGGGCAAATCAGTTTACTTTTTGTTTTAAGTGCTTGTAATAAAATTCGAGGTTTGCTAAATAAATTAAAACACTGTCCAGCCCTTATTCAATCTGGTTTTTATTTATGTCAATTTAAAACTAAAATTTGATTAAAAACTGAAATTTTTTTACCATAAAACAAAAAAAACCGTAACTAAGTTATAATATATACTATTTAGATTAAATTATTGTGTTTGTATTCCTATAAGTTTGCTTTAAATATTATAGTTAATCTTACTTGAAATTTTTGTTGTATTATTAACACTACATTTTTTTAACAATGATACCTTTAGTTTTGCCAAATACAAAATATATACATTGCAAAAATCATAAATAAAAAATAGCATGGCACTTCTCCGAAATACAGAGATTATTGTTTGTAGTCGGTGGGTTTGTAATTAGCGCAACAACAATTTGTAAGTAAATTAAATAGCATAAAGTAATACTATTTAAATTGCATGTCTTAACAAACTAAGTACTAACATGATCGTACATGTTTAAAAAATTACAAACGACAAAATTTTAATTAAAAAAAAAAAACAAATTAGTTATTACCTATAAAATTACACCGCAGACTATATTTTTGTTACTCTATTAATTTTCTGAACTGAAAACATTCAATTCAATTTAAACCATTATTATACGTACACCATGTAAATAAATTTTATCCTCTTTATCATCCCTTACAGTCCCTATTGATACCTTCCTCCGTTTCCTTTTTGTAAATCCTTTGGCTAAACATTACCTAACGCTGTGCCGCGTTTTCATTGTCACGACAGGATGCGTTAAGTTGCCTATACCTTGAATTACAAGGTGTTGACTTAGGAATTTTTTTATACTCTGTCAAATAAAATATTGGTTGGTCCTTCATTTTTGATTTGGTTATTCGTCTTACGCCCAATCGCATACAGGGTCTTTTATAAGGTCTGCGCCCCCTAACCCTCCCCTCTAGTAGCGCCAACGCTACTATAATACACAGACCAGCTCTGGTCGGAGAGCAGTTGTTGTTTTATTGCTCTATTCATTTGTTAATCGAACAACTATATGTGATGCCCAAATTCTATTAATATATATTATATCTTAAGGTGTGTACATTTATTAGGACGCCCCTACCACACATTGCAGTGAATGAAGAAGGAAAAACATTGGAGAAAGTGACTAATTAGTGCAAGGTACAAATTTTGGAGCTCAGAGAGGTCATCGTTTCATTTCCAAAACGATTTAAGTACTTAATTACTTTTGACAACCAATATTGTTTATTTCATTTTATCATTAGAAAGAACCCCATTTTTTTTTTTTAAATTAAAAATAAGTTTTATATTTTTATTGTACTTTTTTTCGTTTGCTACACTTTTTACTTAATTTTGAAATGTTGGTAATTTGTTGTTGTTTTTCATACACTTATTTTTGTACTTTTATTTTTTATCGTTATACGAATTTTATATTTATCCATTTTTGGTAATTAATTTTTATTTAAAAAATAAACTTTTTTATTAAATATTTATTAGGTTGATAATAAAAAAAAAGTTCCCATCTTTATTCAACTAGACTAACTAGGTTAAACTCAGAAACGAGTCCCGGTAAAATAAAGAGAGTTATATGATGTGGTAGCCCTCTATCTCCCATCCACAAAGAAGATTCCCGTTTTTACCCGAAGGCCGTGCTTTTGAAGATATAAGGGCTGGAAGTTTCACCCTCTGGAAATTTCTAGAAAATTCGAGAGTATTCAAGAGTATTCCCTATAACACTTTTTTTTATTTGTTTATAAGGCATGTGTCCAGTTTTTCTGTTTTTGTTGAAGTGGGGTAGATAAGTGCGTAAAAAAAAATGTCAGGTAATTTGTTTTTATTAGATTACATTTTAGGTTTATGATATCGCTAAGGGTATCATTGTTTTCTTTAGTGTTTAAGCTAATCATTTTTTTCAAAAGAAAAAACAAATTGTTGAAAATTAAATTTTTGTATATTATAATAAAATACAAGCCATTGAGAGGTATAATCTATGTATATAAATGTCAAATACCACTCACTTACTGATCGCTACTTTTCAAAAACTACAAAATTTTGCTCATTCGTTAAAATAAAGAGAAAATCATAATGCATAACTTAAAATTTGACAAAAGTTGCCATAACCTTAACGATATCATTGGCTACAGCCAATTCTTACTCTCTCCGAAATTTTAGGGATAGTTTCGCCCTGGAATTTTTAAATACTTATTACCGTACAATTTTGGGTGCAATTTGTGTATAAATTTTGGCCCTACCTGGCCTCGGAATGCAAATAACATGGTCCGCTTTATACACGTGTGTGCACAATAATAATATATTTATTTTATAAGACAAAACATTGTAATATTATAACATTTATTCAAATATACAGACACAACAACTAATATAGGTTCCACATGTTACCGACCTCTGTGTTCCATAGTTATGTATCATAGTACCGTAAAATGGGGTGAATAGCAACACTTTTGAACTTTGAAGTGTAATTAAAACTGTTCTATTTGAGATACATAGTTCAATCAATACGTCAAAATACTGGTCTCTGCGAGTATTTTAAGTATGTTTTATCAACATTTTTTCATATATCAAAATATATATTTTATCTATTTTTAATGTGCTGTTTCTATTCACCCGCAAGATGGTGTCAATAGAAGCATTCATGGTTTTCTTATACATTTTTCTATTTTACAAACGGAATGATGAATAGAAACAATTTTTGATATTTTTTCTAAAAAAAAAAAGACAAGTTGTCAATGTAATAAAATGTTTTATTTAATTTTACACCAAATATATGTTATATAAACCTTCTTGGTAATATTTGGTAAACTTAATATTTAAATAAACATAATTTTAACACTGGTATATAAACAAATTAATAAACATAACAATTGAGGCAAACTTAACACATTTAAAATACAGTTTTTAAATTTAATTTTGTCAGTCTTAAGGGTTTCTTTCCCAGTTTTGGACGTGGTAATACAAGTAGAACAAAAAATGTATTTTTAATCACAGTTCAAACGTTCAAGTTCAACTATGATTTCAACTAAATTTATGACTTAGGTTATACAAATAGATTAGGAATTTGATTTGCAATCATAGTTGAACTTGAACAGTCCTCTTCCGTAAGGAACAGGTTTTTCAAGTTTCCCTACAACTTGGGAAGTTTTGAACACACAAACATCTCTGACTTCTGGAAAACCATACACCATGCCTTTATGATCCCTGGTTGTTTTTGATCTTAAAAAAGTGCCTTCAAAAGTGGCTTTATCTATTTTCTTTATAACTTGGCCAATGTAGTACAAAAAGTTCATATTTTTACTGCATTTTTACTCCCATTGTTTCTGTTTCTTTTCACCCCTAAAATGGCTTAGGTCATTAAAATTGACCTATTAAAATGTTTAAGTTATAACAGTAAATAATACTTACGATTAATTAAACTTATTAATATTTTAAATACTTTAAAAGTAAGAAAACAAAAAACTTTAACAAAACAACATCATAACGAGTAACTTAGATTTTAATAATAATATGATATGAAAATTATCACGAGTGCTTGTCAATGTTTATCCGTATGGATGTAAAAATAAATGCAACGTTTAGTATTACTCGAATTTCGTACTAATGTGAGTTCGATTTAATGAAGGTCTTAGATTGATAACTTGAAAACTCAACTGTGGGGACATCGAAGTAATAACTTTTCAGATTTTGTTTCTATTCACACCATCGTTTCTATTCACCCCTTTTTACGGTATTCATTATTATTTGCACTTGGTTTAGTACCATATTTTTATGGATATAATATAAATTATGAACTGTCGTATCACTTATGAATTGAACAAACGATATATTTTATTTGTTATTTAACAACAGATTTTCAGAGCACGGTATGTGTATAAGGCAAACTGTATTTTTGACATTTTAGTGGATTTTTAGCAAAATATTGCATAAATCATAAGTCGTTTTGTTCCATGCGGGTCGGTGAGACAACAATTTTTAGCAAACACAGATGAATCAAAACAGACTTATTTGTCTTAATAGTTGTACCCAATACCTATTATTTATGATTTTCTAATTGTAAGTATGATCAGATGAATTTCATCACTGAATAAAGTCTAGAGCTCAGAGAGTTCATGCGTAAAACAGATCCCAACTATTGTTCTCAACTTAACGTGAACTCTATATATTTTTATATCAATATGGCAACTATCAGTTATTACATTGTTTTATCTGTCTGCGTTTGTGCGTTGGCTAAACATGGTAAGCGTAATTCATTTCAATTATTTAACCATAATCCACGCGGGTTACGATAATGTAATATTATTTATTACTATGTACCTATATACTATGTAATCTATGGTTGTATTTTTAGGTATATTCGAGGAAGAGGACATAGTACATTATCGAAGCAATCAAAATAATGGTAAATATATATTTCTGTTGGCCTTAATTGTACTAGTAATATTATGGTAATTTCTTGTGAAAATCATCATAGGCGGACTTGAAATGTTTATTTAAACGATGACTGTAAAAACATAGTTTTTCCTGTAAAGTTTGTATACAGGGTGATGATTATATCGCGAACCGCTCAATATCTCATTGGGTTTAATTAATAACTGAATTTTTGAGTTTTTGATCTCAATTTTCCACAAATTTTATGTTTCTACCCCTCAACAAAACTAATTATTCTTATACCAACTTTTGAAACTTAAGCGGTAACGCAAACATGACATTAACATTTTAAATTGAGAATAATGTACAGAACATTTTTTTTGACTGATGATTATTTTTAATGTTATTGAAGCTTCAAGTTTAGGGCAGGAGGAAAGGTGGAGTATAGTATTATTGTTATCTGCCCGCACTTCCCTTCCCATCCTAACTTTTAAACTAGTATAACTTCAAAAGTAGCCGTTTTTCAAAACTGGTCTACAACCAGTCAACATTTTTAGTAAAATATTCCTAATTTAAAAAGTTAATAAAATATATACGTTACCGTTAACATTTTTAAAGTTGATATAATAAAAAATGGTTTGGGAGAGGGTAATTAACAAAAAGTTATAGCTAATTTAGAACATATTTTTCATAAGTTTTTTTTCTTTTTTTCGAGGTCAATTTTTGAAAAAAATTATAATCTCATGTATTTTATCAAAATAAAACATGGATATAACCGGATATTTAAATATTAAATTAGTGTTGTAGTCATTTAGTTATTACATAAATACTTAATACGCTCGTTGAATTTATAAATGTTTTCTTTATTTCAGAGACTGACTACTATATGTTTGTGACTCGAGGTAAAAATATATAATAATAATAGATCTCAAATGAAATCTAATAAAGAGTATCCCTTACAGAAGGAGTAAATCCAGAATCGAATCCCAACACAGGTATTATGACACTATTTTTTTTATTTATATGTATAATATAATATAAGAATATATCATTACCACATAACATTTTATGAACTTTGTGTAAGGCATATTATTATATAAAACTTTTATAATATTATAAAACTTTTTATGTTTTATAGTTGTGATTGAAATTCTAAAACCAAGGTGAGTAGTAATATTGGCCTGTTTTGAATAGTTTTAAAACAGATATACTTAAAAGTAATATTATATTAAGAAATCTGCAAAACCTAACCACAAAAAACAAAAAAGACAAATGTCAAGGTAGGAGATCAATATTGGCCTTTTTAGAATAGTTATAAAACAAATATATATATAAAAGTAAAATTATACTGAGAAATAAGGATGACTTAACTGCAACAAAATAAAAGATCAAGGGAGGGGATTTATACCCCTAGCTATATATAAATCACATGTATCATGAGACAATAGGTATTTCTACAATCGCAATTCTCTAATAATTAATACCTTTGCTTGTACCATGTATACATACAAATTATACATTTAATAACCATTTGGTAATATATTAATTATCGGTTTCAGGACAACAACCTACAATTACTTACTCGAGAAAATAGTTACAATTGAACTTTCGCCCAAGTACGTAGGAAGATTTATTGATAATGAAATAGGAGATGACTTGATAGCCTGGCAGATGGATTAGTACACATAATCTTATTCATATTTCTTATATTATAAAAAATTACCTTATTCTTACATAGTCAAAAAAATATATCTATTTTTTTTCAATAATGATACATTATAATTATAATTATACATAAAAATATTATTATTTATATATTTAACATAATTTAATACAATAATATTTTATTTGCAATAATAAAACAATGTCATAATTAGGTACATAAAAATAATTTAATCAAATATAATGTGTGTTATAAATTATAATAATATGTGTTTGTTGATAATTGGAGAAAAGGCGTTCTAATTTGTTTATAACTAAGCGGTACAACTAAAAAATGTAAAAATACAATATTACTATATTTCATAATTAGGTACTTTTTGGAATATATTATGCGTACCACACGTATAAAAATGAACTTGGAGAGCCAAAGTTGGACAAATCAATTTACTTGCTTTTTAAGTGCTTGTAGTAAAGAGCGAGGTTTGTTAAATAAATTTAAAAATTGTCCAGCCCTTCTGGAGCAATAAAATACCAAAGATTTTTGTTATTTTGTTATTTTTATTTTATTGTTTTTTTTTCTACCCATTACGTTTTTTGTAAAAACATTATTACTTTGGCTACGATAATAACTGCTTTGCTAACTACAATAAAAATGGTAAAAAATCTTGTGATTTATGTCGTAAACAGTTCACCGGCTACAAAGATCTGATCGAATATAAGAAACGAATTTGGGAAAACAAATACAAATGCGACATTTGTAAAAAACGTTTTGTGCATTCGAAAAATAATTTTTATGATTTCAGAAATCATAAAAATACACACGACATTAATTTCCATAGATTTAACAAAATTTCAAAGTCAATTTAACGTATAACTATACTTTTAACTTGTTGAAATCAAAACTTTGGGTAGACCTTTACCAAGTTTACCCAATTTAACTAATAAATTTAAAAAAAGGACAAAATGATTACACTCGTCATTTTAATACTGGGCTTTATCAAAAGTTCAAATGGCTTTGTGGTTGTGAAACTACTGTATCGTTTATTTGTTTCCCTCGTGTTTGTTTTGGAGATGATATCTCTTGTCTTGGAGTCAGACTAGTGTGACTAAAGATTTAGTGGTTATAAATTAGGGTTTAAACGTCATAATGAGCAAGTTTTAGAAAACATTTTAATTTGTGTAAAATGTTGTGGACATCACGAATTACCTTTTTCCGTGGACACGGTGAAAAAATGTCATCAAAAATTCAAGGCGTTTTTCGTGGTTTGATTAACCTATGTTCATATTTAGACGCAAGTTTGCGGAAACATTTTCAGAAGTCTATTGTTTTTAAACGTACCTACTTCTCTAAAACCATACAAAATGAATTAGTGAATTGTATTTTAAATGTTACAAAAAATCATATTTTAAATGAAATAAATGATTCGGAGTTTGTATCCATAATTGTAGACTGTAGACCGCCACTGCGGCATAAACACATTATCTCGCAATACATAATATATCAATAAAAACTTAATATGAGTTGTTACTTTGACTGTAAAGAAACATTTTCAATATTTTCGATACCCTGTTTAAAATAATGTATTCGCGTTACTGGTAATCACTTCAGATGGAATTTACCAGTGCATAATTTTGGGGGGTTTATGGCTATTTGTATAGGCTATTCATTCATTGACCAAACAAATTAAACGTATATTAACTTAAGTGTATAAAGCAATTAATTATAGTTTTCCGAGCACAAAGTAGTTATCAGTGTGTTGAATATCAGTCAATGGCATTCCTAAGAGGGTTAATCATCCACCCTTTTTGAGCCTATCCTAAACCAGAGATGGACAAAATGTGAATATGATAAAAAATAATATACAATTTGACGACTTATGGATAATAATTTAACCGTAACGAATTGTTGCTCATTCATTAAAATAAGGACAAAATCATAATGCATAAACGTATGTCTGATAAATGATTTTACAATTTCAACCAAACTGTCGTTTATAACGATCTCCTGGCCTGGTTACATATCAACAACCCAACTAAACATAATCTCAAAACAGCCCCTTTTAGGGTCATCAGACAAAGAAACTTCAATTTTGATACCAAATTTATTACTCTGTTAGTTTAATAATAATATTTAACTACTGTTACTCATATTTACTATACATATTAATATATGTTATCCCATTATCATTACTATATACTTTATATTGCATGTATGGTGTACCGACAAACCATACGAATAAATAAATAAAATGGATATTAAATTATAAACTGTTTTGTACAAAACGATATATTTTATATCTAATTTTACAACAGATTATCAGCAGAGCACGGCACGTGTCGTATTTTATAAGACAAAACATTGTAATATTATAACATTTATTCAAATATGCAGACACACAACTAATATAGGTGCCATATGTCACTGTCCTCTGTGTTCCATAATTATGTATCATAGTATGCATTAATATTTGCACTTGGTTTAGTACCATATTTTTATGGATATAATATAAATTACGAACTGTCTTATCACTTATGAAATGAACAAAACAATATATTTTATTGTTATTTAGCAACAGATTTTCAGAGCACGGTATGTGTATAAGGCAAACTGTATTTTTGACATTTTAGTGTATTTTTAGAAAAATTAAGCATGAGTCATAATTCGTTTTCTTCCATGCGGGTCGGTAAGACAAACATTTTTAGCAAACACATATGAATCCCTATAATTTATGACTTTCTTAGTATGACCCGATGAATTTCTACACTGTATAAAGTCTAGAGGTCGACGAATTCATGCGTTAAATTGTTCTCAGCTTTTATGTGTACTCTATACTTTTATACACCAATATGGCAACTATCAGATTTTACTTTGTTTTATCTATCTGCGTTTTGGCGTTTGCTAATGGTAAACGTCATTCGTTTATTATTTAACCATAATCCACACGGGTTATGATAATGTATTATTACTCTGTACCTATACTATGTAATCTATGGTTGTTTTTTTAGATGTATTCCAGGAAAAAGACTTGGTACATTTTCGAGACCCTCGAGATAATTGTAAATATATATTTCTGTTAGCCTTAATTGTACTAGTAATATGTAAATGTCATATTATTTGTATTTAAACGATGGCTGTTAAAACGCAGTTTTTCCTGTAAAGTTTGTATACAGAGTGATCCTTACAGCGTTAACCGCTCAATATCTCATTAGGTTTGATAAATAATTGAATTTTTCTATTTTATAATATAATGTGATCTCAATTTTCCAAAAAGTATGTATGTTTCTACCCCTTGACCAAACTAATTAATCTTATACAAACTTTTGGAACTTAAGCGGTAACGTATACATTTCATTAACTTTTTAAATTGAGAATAATGTACTGAGCATATTTTTTTGACTGGTCGATAACCGCTTTTGGTTGATTCTTTTTAAAGTTATTGAAGTTTCAAGTTTAGGGCAGGAGGAAAGTGTAGTGTAGTATATTGTTATCTGCGCGCACTTCCCATCCCGTCCTAACTTTTAAACTATTATAACTTTAAGAGTAGTTGTTCAAAACTGGTCATCAACCAGTCAACATTTTTAGTAAAATATTCTTAATTTAAAAAGTTAATAAAATATATACGTTACCGTTAAAGTTTTCAAAAGTTGATATAATAAAAAATTATTTATATCGTGGGTAATTTTTGAAATAAATTATTATCTTATGTATTTTATGGATATCAAACATGGACCGAACATTTTAATATTAAATTAGTGGTGTAGTCATTTAGTTATTACATAAATAATTAGTACGCTCGTTGGTTTTATAAATGTTTTCTAGAAAAAACTGTTAAGCAAACTTATGGTTAAATATATAGTAAGGATATAAAATCTACTATGGTTACTATTTTTATGGTTTAGGGTTCAAGTAGATTTTATATCTTTACTATATAAATGTTTTCTTTATTTCAGCGACTGACTACTATATGTTTGTGACGCAAGGTAAAAATATATAATAATAATATATCTCAAATGAAATCTAATAAAGAATATTCCTTGCAGATGGAGTAAATCCAGAGTCGAATCCTAACTCAAGTATAATGACAATTTTTTTTATATTGATTAAAGTAATATAATAAAATATAAGAATGTATCAATACCATATAGCAGATGTTTTACCAAGACAAAGAAAAAGTCTGTACATTTGTGTGAAAAAAAAATAACAATTCGGTTTTAGACCGATTAAATAATTTAATAATGTCTACAAAATTAATTTAATACAAATAGTGGAAAACTAGGTATTTAAATGTTAAACGTAATTAATTCGATAAATCTCCTTTGACTTTTGACCTGAATTTTAGGTAAATATTTAAACACATGTATGTAACAATATATTACGAATTTTGTATAAGGCATATTTTTATAAACACCTCTTTTTGTTTTACAGGTGTGATTGAAATTCTAAAACCAAGGTGAGTAGTAATATTGGCTTTTTTTGAATAGTTAGAAAACATCTGATATACTTAAAAGTAATATTATATTGAGAAATACGGAAAACTTAACTACAAAAAAAAAAAAAATCAAGGGATCTATTCCCAATCTTTCACCCCTCCCCCCCCCCCCACTTGTATACGCCACTACTCTGGGAAATAAATCACAGTAATTTCTCTTCAGACAGTAGGTATTCCCATTTATTGTCTGCTCCAATCTAGTGTAATAAGTACCTTCTTAATGATGTCTTCTTTTAAACATACAATATAATTCAATACAACTGAGACATTTCCAGGTATTTCTTTAATTATTAATACCTTTGCTTATACCATGTATACATACAAATTATACATTTAATAACCATTTCGTAATATTATATTAATTATCGGTTTCAGGACAACAGACTACAATAAAATATACGATATGATACTTACCGTTGAACTTTCGCCCAAGTACAAAGGAAGATATATTGTTGGAGTAGTAGGAGATGAAATGTTACCATTGCCAATGGATTAGTACACATAATCTTATTCATATTTCTTATAGTATAAAAAATTACTTTATTCTTACAAAGTCAAAATATATATATATTTTTTTTTTTCTAAAAAATAAATAATTTTACAAAAAAATGTATAAATACAACATTACAATATTTCATCAATTAGATACTATTTAATATTATTTGTACCACACGTACAAAAATGGACTCAGAGAGCCAAAATTGGGCAAATCAATTTACCGTGTGCTTGTAATAAAAATCGAGATTTGTTAAAAAAGTAAATCTATGTATAATATGTATTACACTTCTATCTTGATCCTAATGCGTTCTCCGTCCAGTTAGTTCAATATATGACTAAGTTGAACGGACACAAGTGTACATTTGGGTTTATTTAATTAATTTTTTTTTTTAAAGTTAGGGTCAGTAGGGTTAAGTAATTTTTAGTTTAAAAATGTGTAAGTTTTCCGATAAAATAAATACTAACGCAACATATGTATTCCGTTGGCAACACTGGAAATGTTCCAAATCGAATCAATCAATCGACAAAAGTAATTTTAAAATGAATGAAAAGTACAAAACTGCAATTATATCCGAAATTTAACGTGGCTTACTCTAAATTAAGCATGCTCTAAACGTCACAAACAATTCTCCCTCGCCATATTCATGATAAGAAAAATATTTTTCGTTTTTTCATAAACTGTACCTTGTTGCAAATATTTCTTAATTACAACGAGAACCCTCGAAACTCATTTTATTGTAAGTTTTGAAAATCAATTTAAACAATCAGATGAATTTTTCGCGCATGGTGTTTCTGGTCTAAGAACACGTATACACAGTGTGTTGGTAAACTCATGTGATTTATGATTTGTATGATCAGGTAAAGTTTTTTGGTTTATTTCAATGAATTAAGTACAGTATATAGCTTGATAAATTCATACGTTAAATTCAATCATATATTTTCTACAGTGCTTTTCAACTTAACGTGTATACTTCTATACATCAGTATGGCATTCATCAGTTATTATTTTGTTTTATTTTTGGTCTGTGTTTGTACGTTTGCTGATGGTAAGCATAACGTATTTATTAATTAAACATAATGCACGGATTATATTTTAGAGTACATCAGGCAAAAATAATAATTTTTTTTTGTGCACCATAAAGTACTATTATAATGCACCTACCTACTTAGGGTATTGCATGCGGACTGTTTTAAAGGAGTTTTGTGCTGCAAAATTTAAGAAAAAAGATGTTTTAATAAATTTCGACCTTGTCAAATAATTAACCGGTTAATTTGTATGAGCTATAAGGTATTATAAATTTGAATAATTTTTTTTATGGCTAAAAGCTATTTTGGTTTGCCTTAGATTAAGAAGCTAGAAAATATGTTGACTACATAGGATGGTCCATTTTTAATTCTTTAAAAAAATTGTTTGGTTACTTTACTATGTGATATAGGAAGCCGATTTTCATTTAAACATTTCAGTTTTTTGTAGTTAAATAAATTAAATTTGCAATTTTTTTTATTATAAAAACCCCATTTTTACATAAAAAAAAGTAAAAAATTCGTTTCTTACATAACCTATTAAGTTGCCTAAGAACTCGTATATCCTTAAAAAATTGAAATCGGACCATCCTAAGTAGTCGATTTTTTTGTAACACACAAAAAAAACATACCGCATGCAATTTCCTTAATCTATGATTTTTTTCAGATGTATTCGAAGAAAACGACTTAGTTTTTTTGCGAGAAGCCGGAAATAATTGTAATTATAATTATGTTAGCCATTAATTATGTTGGTAATATGTAAATGTCATATTTTAATAATCATAGACCGTCTTTAAGACTTGTTTTTTAAAGCCCATAATATTGGGGTGCCATGCCGCATTTGCCTATCCCCTAAATCCACCTAGGAATATTATTAAGGGCAGACGCACACAAAAACTGTCTGTAAATGTATTAATGTCCTTGTAACTAATTCATCGTGTAAAGTTTTAATGATTATACAAACTAATAAGGTGTCGCATAAAGAAACGCTATACTATTATAATAAAATTAGGGTTATTATGCGATAACCATATGGCTACAAAAGAAATTGAGCCTCTCTTAATTTGATAAAATCTAATTATATAATATTATTATAATTTTTATTATAATGAGAAATGACGTAAATAAAATTATTAAAATAATGAAAATATCAAAATTAAAAATACTATCAAAATTGTAATTGCTGCAATAACATTGATAACATCGACCATGATTCACATCATTAATCGAGCTGTATGTTACTTAACCAAAATCGGATCTGTATTTTACAAGTTCAATAACCGATAATTTACACAACCGTTAACACCGGCTCGTTAGTGCTTTACACATACTATAAGTCACTATTGGAAGTTTATGCAACCTGCCCTTAGACTAATAACTTATTTAAGGACATGGGTACGCCGAAAAACAATAGTAACAAACAGTTATGCGTTTCGCGGTTGAGAATTTGATGTGTTTTTAATATAAACAATACAGTGTTACGATTTCTAAAAATTAAAATTTATTATTGGACTGTCTAAAAAATCCATACAATAATATTGGAATTTTACCGCCTCATTTATTTTTATTTTAATGTTGAATAACTAAAAAATATTAAATCTGAGATCGTAACGTACCTTTCAATCATTTTATAGGAAAAAACATTTAATTTTAAAACCTAGTGGCTGATCTAAGGTGACAAACATGTTTTTTCACATGGATAAGATCAATATCCCGACACCTTTTTGGTCTCTTATCAACAAACGTTATCAGTTGTTTCTTATCAGGAGTCATTATCAGCTGTCTATCATCGCTGTTCTCTTATCAGGTGTCGTTATCATATTCAATTTTTTCTATCTCTTATCACTGATATATGATCATCGTTATCATATCAGTTGTTTCTAATTACTATCGGGAAATCGATAATGAAAATTCAGATAGACAGTGGCAAAAATTGGCTTCAAAAACACCTAAACTGGAATTTATCGAAAAAACATTTCCTATAAAAGTCGTTGGTTATGACGGAACCATTTTTTTTCTTCAAACGTCCCTTGACTTGGAACTCTAAAAGTTTCTAATGAATAACTTTTTGATTGCATTAGTATTTTTGAGAAAAGTTCATCAGTATTTTAAAATGGGACACCGGTATATTTGTTATTATTAAAAAACGTTATAGCCAATAAATAAATCTACTTAAAAGCAAAATGATATGCACAAATTTATGTCCGTTTATCCTTATCTATTTATTAAGCTATGCCAATATGTTCTTTTATAACTATTTCAGTCAAATATTGCATTTACCATACCCTTAAAAAGTACTCATGTCATTATGTTGCTAAAATATTTACTTACAATTAGATAACAAGCAAGTATTATGTTTGTTGAGCTTATAAATGCTTTTTTTTCAGGGACCGGCTATTGGATGTTAGTGACTCGAGGTAAAAGTATAATAATAGGATTTATTTGATAAAATATAATTAATATTATATTCTCTTGCAGATGGCCAACGATCGCCGAACCCTGAATCAAGTACTCTGACATTTTTTAAATTTGTATTTAAGTAATATAACATAAAGTTATATCAAACTTAGGTAGCAGTTGTTTTAATAAAATAAAGAAACAAATTCTGAACATTTGTATAAAAAAAATAATTACATGAAAATTACAAATTTCGAAATGTATTTTGTAACATAATAGATTGCGTGAAAGTGTTACTTGTTGAATGACAAAGAAAGGTCCTTTCACAAAAAAATACCACTTATAAGAATAGAATAAGCTAAACAAATTAACTTATCAGTTATCCTGTATCCATACTAATTAGTAATTAAAAACAATTATTTCAAAAGAGGGTCAATTTTTTTTGTACGGTTACAGTAATCTATTCGTATTAATCGTAGTAATCTATTCTTGTTAATTTTGTATCTATAAAGCATATTTTAACATGTTTTATGTTTTACAGTTGTGGTTGAAATTTTAAAACCAAAGTGAGTCCATATTAGTAATATTTATATAAACGTTTTGATGCGAAGATGCTTATTGGTTTTACAATGATGTAATTTTTTTTTTTGCCTCCTATGCAACATCAAATGTAATTAAATTAAATTGAGACCACTTTTATTTCCTAAGAAATAGTTTTGTTGCTACATTGGATACTTAAAAAACATTGTTACAACTATTTCGTAATAATATATTAATTATTGATTTCAGTACAACTGCCTACAACGATGTTTTGAATAAATTGGTCTCTGAAGAAATTGAACCTAAGTACGAACCAAGATTTATTGAAGGAGAAGTAGGAGATGAGTTCATACCTGTCTGGTTTCCGCCTCAAGAGTAGATTAGTATAGATAGATCTGTATTCATATTTCTTAGAATAAGAGAAAAACATACCTTTTTGGAAAATGATAAATTTTATTTTTAATAATTTATACACATACTGTTATAATTTAATATAATAATTTATCATTCAACCTATAATTTGTTTTACATTTTTTTAAAGTAACGTTATTTATTTTTAACGTACAAATCATGACAAATTAAATCGTGAAGAAAACTATAACATTAACCGTTGTAATTGCATAAAAATGTTTTAAATTAAATTAAACTTATAGCTATTAACGTTGGCTGAAACTAAAACGAGTACTTTTTTTTTTTGATTTTATACTGTTCAATCGTCATTTTAAAAACGAATTTCACTTTGACCTATATATTTGGGACATTTCCGTCGTTTGTACTTACTTCATAAAATCGATGTCACAAAAAATGTGCGACAATATTAATAAATAATAATATATCCTAGACTTTTTAGAGGTTACTGTAGGCTGCAGTTGCCTAAATTACAGTTAATACCTGTCTCATTAGACACTATTGTACTTCATTGTGTGCACTTTATGTGCGTATTGAATTATCATTGTAAATGTTAAGCGTGTATAGTAAATTACCTACAACCGGTATTTATCGATTACAATAATATAATTATTATCATATCCTTGGGTCTTGTATGGTTGTGTAAATTAAACGCTACAACGTGAATAACGGTAAATTCTAAAATTAGACTCCGTCACTGGTACCAACGACAATATTATGTTGATTATTTAATCTCTGCAACGACCCAGGTCGTATAATTTCGCAAGATTATATTTTATAAGCACTGTGTGAACGGTCCAAGCCGGTCGAATCCGAACTCACGTGTTCAAAACGACTTATGTTTCCAGAAAAACATTTAAAAAAAAAAAAAAAAACAGTCTGGAAGTTTACCGTTGTGAGGTAAACCAGTTAGTGTGGTGTAGACACTTTTTTATTTGCCGTGTAAAACAAAACAAAAAAAAAACAGCTAAAAAACATCATTAATTCCGTCATATAACGCCATGTGTGGGACCGTTATAATAATATCATTATAGTTTATATCAATATTGATGACATCTAGTTAGTCTACATTCTACTGCGAAAAAATACCTTTACAAAGAGTCTTAACACCAAGAGTGCTTTTAAAAATATTTGAAAATTGAACTATTTCCATAAATTCATCCAGAGGAAAACCCCTAATAAAAGGTAACCAAAAATTGATTTAAATTATTTGTGAGTTTCATTTTTTACCAATCAATGACAAGTAGGTCAATGATAAGTATTATAAAACATCACCATTTTCCAATTTTTATTATAAAAAAAACTTTATTGAACGAATCTAAAAGAGATGTGATTTAAATTTATTATTGAAAAAAAAAACGATTTAACCCGAAAAAAAAAATTTATCTTCTTAATCGATCACTTAATATGTAAAATAATCAATTTAAAAAAGTGACCTTATCAGGTTTACCTATTTCTGGTCGTGTGGTCTCCGTTCTAAAATATATTATAATATTCAGATGAACTTAATTAAATAAGTTTACTATATTTTTTTGTATTTTGAGTTTATTCATTTTTGCTATCAATATAATATTGTACAAAAGGAATATACCTACTTACTAATCATTACACTTGAACTATGCAGTCTCTTATTATGCCCTAGTGTTCTAATATGTTATTTAACACACTTTTCATTTGAGTGACAGGTATTTTAATTCTTGCATACTAACAGGTAGCTGTAAAATATTTTCTTTATATTGTTGATTTCGATTAAATAATGTAGAACCTGTTTTTTTTTTTTTATGAAGTCTGAAATCAAATTTTTATTTTTATACGAAATCAAATTTAAAACTACCGTAAAAAATAGTTTTTATGAATTAATTTTCTATATTATGGGTACTAAAAATTGAAAGTTTCGAAAAATATATAATATATCTGTTGTTTGTTTACCGCTATTAAGGTTTGTTTTTTATTGAATTTATTTTAGCGCTGGATAGTTTTATTTTGTTGTACATTTTCAAATGATATGAAAAACACACTTGAAAAAAAAACTTAGTTATTTTTTTCACTCCACGGAGAAAATATTGAATCAAGGATATGTTATCTCTTATCACTTATTACTTATCTACAATGCCTTATCACTTATATATAGTCTCATGTGAAAATAATAATAATAATATTAATAAAATTGTAACTAATATACACTGGTATTAATATACACTATATAATACACGTTTAACGTCTAGTGATAATAATTATTTAATATGAGCGCACTTACCGTAGTAATTGTGAGATGACGCACTAAAGTTTTGACGACCTATAAAATCTAGAATATATTTATTAATATTACAAAATTATATTAACCGTTATTAAAATATAACATTCGGTAAACAGTTACCGCAATAATATTTACTTACCGTACACTTCGTGTTGCCTAACCATTGATTTTATAAACTACAAACTCTTAACGATATTATACCATTACCACGTGTATTAATTTTTGTCGGTTCTAAACGTATCAAAAAAGATTTTGATGTTATGATAATGACAACGGACCATTCAATGAATTTTATACGATATTTTAAATGCAACCTACTCGTAGCAATAGCACAGGAATGAAAGGGCTGAACGGATTGGCAAAGAAAAATGTTAGTAAAAGTAGTCTGATACTAGTACCTCCGCTGCAAGGAAGTACATAGGAAAATGGATATGTAATAATTTACAAATATAGGACCCTGGTACTTTCGGTACTTTTTGGTACATTTGTTACTTCTGGTACTCGTTGGTACTTTAGTATCTACTTCCATACTTAGGTTCTCATCTCTAGTCTTAATGAGCGTGACACATTTTCGTAGCGGTCGAATTTTACGGACCGTCCCCTAGCCATAAGACATAATATCCGCGCACCGATATTATATTTATAATAAATTAGATAGCTGAAGTTTTTCTCCGTCTTTGTGGGAATCAGAAGAAGCTTATCACGTGAAAATATGTTTACAACAATAATTATAAGTCGAGCCGATAACGCAGAATCACAGACATAATATATTATTTTACACACACACACACGACTCGGGAAAATTATGGACGTCGACTTGCATTGTTATCACAAGTCTTAGCGATCTAGTTTATTATATCCGTGTCAATATAGAAAATGATTTCGCCGAAAATGGCGTTGAAGTTTTCGATCGGTCATCGGTTGACGTGTAGATCGGGCAACGATGGACGGCGGCGGACGGACCGCATCTATGGCGCGCCGCGCTCGAAACCGGTGCCGCCGTTTCGTGGACGGTTCCCGTGGCGAACGCGTCGTCGCCGGGTCATGTGTTCGCTATCCAGTTGCTCGCCGGCCGCCGCGATACACGCGCGTCGTTTACCCGTCCGTTCCGCCGTCGTCGCCGCACACGTGCGCGTTTCGTTTCGCCGCCGGTCACGCTATTGTTTTATAATTTGTACCTGTACACTACGCCGAAACTTTTAATATAATAGTTACCCCCCTTTTTTTTTTTTTTTTTGTCGACTTCGTCTTTCGCGCGACACACGCCGGAAACGAGGACCTCTCGCCATGGAGGACTCGGGTTCCGCCGCGACAAACGGCCCGTACACCGTCGGCCAAGTGCAGCAACAGCAACAGGAGGCGCAGAGTTTCCGGAAACAGTCCAAGAAAATCGGCCGGAAACTTTCCCGCCGGTTGTCGTTGATCGCCAAAGTGCCGAACATTTTCAACGTGAAATCAAACGCCGCCAACCAGCCGACCGCCGACGGTCACCGCGGTTCGGCCGCGCCGCCGGCCGCCGACGACGGTTCGGCCGGCCGCACACACGAGATCACCGTCATCGCACCGGACAAGACCCAACGAATGGTGAGTGCGCCTCGCCGTACTTGTATTTTTGATTTGTGGAAAAAAACGACCCCCCCCCTCCCCTCGCTTTTTACCTCCCCTAAGTCCTCTTAAGCCCAAAGCCCCGGAAACGCCGGTCAATCTTCGCCGAAGCCTTGTGTGAATGATTTTCTGGCAAAGATATGATGTGTTTGGGTTTGGCCCAAACTAACCTAACCTAGACTAAACTTACCTTAACTTGAAAGTCGAAAATAACGATAGACACGTATTATTGTACACTGTAGTTTTGTTATCAAATAAAAGTGTTAATACCGCGCGAATTAGGCTTCTTATCATCTTTCAAACGATAACGGTATACTATGTTGATCGATGTTTGTAGGCCGGCTCGATGAAATTGTAATTTCTCCCACAGAAATTATGGTCTGTCAAAAAAAAAAAAAAAAAAGAATCCTCCATACTGTATCGTAAACGTGTATACAAAATAGTTTAAGCTATAAAATAGATAATTAGGTGGTGTGGCCTAACTATGCTACTCTAAAATGGTTTTTTAATGTTTCGAAGAAGTCTATACCTACATAGCTGTGGAAAAATGTAAAACAATTATCATAAGTTGTTTTTATGAATGGCGTGGACGGAACTGTGTTATCATGGGCGATGTCCATTAGTTTTCTTCATTATCTCTTTTAAAAAATTGATCTCTAAAACGGATTTGGATAAATAAATTCCTGCTATAGTGGAAAAAAAATTGAAAAACACCAAAGTCTTTCTGGTCTTATTCATAAGCGGTGACTTCGTGATCAAAAATGTTTGTTTTTGTTTAATTATAATGTGTAGTACTTTATTATAGTATGATTAAAAATTGTATCAATTGAAAATTGAAAATCGTCAATCACTTTTTAAAAAAAATATATAATTTACATTTGCTCCATTTGTTTGCAATCACACCCCCCTACTCTCCCTCTGTAACCTTAATGTTTTGCGACGGCAAGAGAAAATCCATTTTCGTCAACCTATTTTAAGTATTTACAATTTTTCTTAAAACAGTTTCGACCAAACACGAGACAATGGTTAAGTCAACCCTACCCTCTGAAAAAAAAAAAACAAAAAAATCGTCTAAATTCCATTTTATTATCAGCTGTTCGATGATGGTAAATGTGTTTTTCGTGTTATTCGATCGGTTGCGGTGCCTTAAAAACTCTTAAAACTCTTTTTGAACATAATATACTTACCGTTGGTTATTTGATTATTATGTTATACAACCGGTATAGGTATACTAAATACTTCTAACTGATAGTGCGCAATGATAAACAAAACAAAACTGACTACTCAGTGAATAATTGTTCATTACCTAGTACCTACTGCTTGTAAAACAGGTGTGTGTATGTGTGTTATGTTAGAATATAAATACCAAAATGGTTGTGTTCCGTTTTGAGTATATTTTTAGCCATTGTAAAATCCATAAAAACGTTGATCCAGCTCCAAACAAAAATACCAAAGTCTGTGAAGTTTATTAGATAATAAACTTTAAATGGTCTGCTGTAATCGTTAACCAGCGTATTATAATTTGTTTTATATTTAAGCATTAATCAGAAAAAAACATAATATAGGTACTTAAATAAAAATAAATAGGCCCTAAAGGATCTGCTATGCCTGAAAATGATCAAAATCCCTCTTAAAATAAAAAAAAATAATTGTAAATATGCTGATGGTAAAAAAATAAAATACCAATAAAAACCATTATACAGAAAATATAATCGTATTAGGTTTTTTTTTTTTTTAATAATTTTACTTAGAAATTTTGAAAAAAAATGTTAGGAGAAAATATTATAATGATATTCTATGTTACTTTAATTTTTTTTATTTTTAACAGTAAGGTTACAACTTATATTTATTCAAAGTTCTGAGGAATACCTTAAAACAAATTTGTAAATCTTTTAACGAATTTTCGGAAAGCAATACTTGCCATATTTCAAAGGTAAAAATATTAAACATTTTAAGATGTTTTTTTTTATCTTGAAGGCAAGACCTGAACTTTAATTTAATTTCCAGTCTGAGGCGTACGATTTTTGTTCCATTGGCTGTAAACAAGAACAAAATTGGTCTAGTGGTTTTATCAAGATTCTCAATCTAAACTAACCGAACCATCTTTTCTTTGGAATTATTAACTTATGTTTCACTATAAAAATACCACGGTTTAATTACTTAAAAATAAATTAGTTATAATACATTTAATTAATAACATAATATTGCAACTATTTTATTGTAGAAATCGTTACCGACTAAATTATTACTTTTCGCGTTGATGTTACAACATTTATTTACAAATAAAAGGAAAAGAGGTATTCGCTAATTAGTTTTGTTTGATTTTAATTACCAGTAATATAAAATACTCGCCCATGTGTACTTACTTTTACTTAACTAAACAGTTATAATAACAAGTTTGTCATAGTTTGTCTGTATCTGGATTGAAAGTAAAACTTTTTGAAAGGGAAAAAAATGTAATTTTAAAATTTAGATTTTCTAATTTTTATTGGCGAGTAAAAACCTAATTAAAACGGCACATAGTATTTTTTGTACATTTTTCGTACAAATTGCCTTTCGAATCGGATTTCAACTTTACTAGATTTTAATACAAACAGAAACAAGCGTCCATGGGTATGGCCATGTAATGAGTATTACGTCTTAGCATAACTAGAACATTTTCGATGACAATTGCCAGTGTGCTAAAAAAAAAAGTTATTTTATATATTGATTGTTCGATTTAAGATTTGGCCTATAATAGCTACAAGTGTTTACAAGTCTATTGCTTCGCCTAGAATTATTTAGAGAAATAATTGTAATTTTATTGTTTATAATAAGACGTTTCCATTTTTCTAGTTTATCGATACGGATGATGTTAGGTACATAAGAAAACCAGCTGGATGTTTAGTGTATGGTTGTTTTTATTCAGCCAACTCTACTTTGTTCGTAATATAAGCTCAACAATTAACCGCCCCTCCCCCCAAAAAAAAATATAACCTAATCTGTTCAACCCAAATAAACACAAATATCCACAGACCGTATTATAGTTTGTTCACCGACATTCGTTTACATCTTATTATTTGGTGGCGTCTTTCTCGTATTCACCACGACCACAGCAGGTCGCTCTAGCCTTGTACGAACCGAGCACAGTCTTTGTGGTACCTATTGTATTTAAAAAAAACAAAAAATCAAAATATCTAGTCTTAGTCCATACACTTTGTTTAGCCATTTTTATATGTTTGGAAACGTGTTGTACTGTGTTACTGTGTACTTACGTATGGACGGTATATGGCCGAAGGCGCATAATAATATTACAAGGGCCGAGTAAAAAAAAAAAATAAAAATAAAAAAACGAAACAATAATATTAAAAAAATGCGGCCGTATAATACAAATAATTGTATTATATTGTGTGTAATCCGTTCTCGACGAATAATAATATCTTATATATACTAATTTATTATACGTGTACATAATATAAAACCCGACTATTTAGATGCTCAGCTTATGTTTTTTCTATGTATTTTTGTCGGCGTTGGTACGACATAAAAAATAAATGTGATTTTATCACAATCAAACGCTTCAATGCGAATCTGGAAACAGTAACAATCCAGCACAGTATAAACTACAGCACATTTTTTTACTATTACAAAAATGTTGATTACATTTTATTTTTACACATGTCATATGTATAAAATATATATGTATATACCTATATCTATCTTCAGACTGATTTTCAGCTATTAAATCCTAAAATTGCGCCTAAAAAACAAAATAAAAATGTCCAACCCCTTCCCCAGGTAGCGGGGGTTGTCGAAATTTGGGTTTGAGGGCACGCCTAATAAATGTTCTACAAAAAAAATCGAATTGATCCCACCGTTTTTCTATCATAGTAGACGGTTGAAAAACCGGTCAATTTTTTTTCGGGGTTTCCCGGTTTTGAAGATGAAGAAATTGACTTTTTCTGCTTTTGACCCACTACAGTATAATCTGCATACGATTCCTCATCTTGAAAGGTGCCACACGAGCAATTCGGTCCACAGAATAAAAAGTTATCTTGACTTCAGACACAAAAAAAAAAAAATAAACACATCTTTATGAAACCAATACCTTCTCCGCTATCACATCGAAGTTAAAAAAAAAATCAACTGAACGTTACACCGAAAAATGACCTTGTAAATTGCGATATTATAGGCACACCGTCTAATATATTATATGCACTAAATGCACTGGATGTAATGACACGGTGATGTGACGGCGATACGGTTTATAATGTGTTTATGTAATAACACATTGACATTAAAGACAAAAATAATAATTATTATTATCATTACACCCGAATCGCACGATATCTAACAAGTTAACGCGTTATTATTATTTTAGTGCACCGAAAACATGTCACGACGGATTTGTTTCCTATGTTGACAAGGCACGCAATCAATGAAAATGATTTGATAATGTGTGTAAACGTTTAATATATCATAATTATCATTAATTTTTATCTTACATAAATAATTTAAAAAAGGATAACGGTCCAAAAAGTGTAGATGAACTAGAACAATTATTGTTTTAGGTCATCTTTGGCTAACTGACATCTCTTTCGATTTTAATTATTGAAAACGAATTACTCAAATCTATTAATTGGTCAGATAATATTATTCAACAGTTTACCGTTACAAAGTCAACGAAAAATAGCATTTCAAATATGAATTTATGAAAACCGTGTTTTATACATTTTATTGTTATATTTATATTTATGTATTTTGATAATCCATTGTTATCCATAATAGCAATTAGTAAACTCATAAGTTTATTATTAATGAATTAAGTCGATAACTATTTTTTTTCCCTCAAAACTTATTTTTATTTAGTGTTTGACCATAATTTAAAAAATGTAAGTCTTGTACGTATAATTCAGAGATTTAGAGCTTGAACCATTAATTTAATGGTAGAAAACATGCTCATTATTTATTATCGATTAAGATACAAAACATTATTGTCT